ACTAGACATTTAAGGAAGAAATGTGTTCTTTTTCAGAAAAATAAAAGAGGAGAGAACACTTTCCAGTTCATTTTATAAGGCCAGCATTACCTGGATACCAAAACCAGGTAAATATATTACAAAAGAAGAAATCTATAGATCAATACCCCTCGTGAACATACACACAAAAATCTAGAAAATATTGACAAAAAACCTAACAACTATAAAAGGATATCTGAAAAGATAAAAATAGATATTCCTCTCTGATCTACTAGAATAAATTGAATAAATATAAATGTGTGTTTTTTTGTCCTTATAATAAGCTAATTCTGATTTTTGTTTTGTTTCATTTTGGTTTTGATTTTTAATCTAAAGTAGAGTGATATTATAGTCATCATTACTCCTGAATATTTTATTTGAGTATTTCAAAGGCTTAATGGGTCTTTTGACCCTTGGAATTTCTAAAATAGTATTGCTCTCCATATAAATAGCTCAGAATTTTAAATAAACTCTTAAAAAATATTTTGGCTCGCACTTTAGATAAAAGGTGGCAATATTAGAATCACAAAAGGCATTATTATTACACAATCTATAATGCTTATTAAAACTCAAAGACAACATAATGCTATGATAGGATTTTTAACAATGTCTGATAGCATTCCAACCCTAAGCTATATATATATATCATATGATTACTGTAGTCCATTGTTAAGTAGCTATAAAGTTTTGCAAGCAAAGGTATTAACCTAGTATATGAGTATCTGCACAAGGCTAAATCTATCAATTAGTTTTTTTAAGTGATATATTTTTATTATGTAAATAATGCGTGCCCATTTTGGAAATTCATGAAAGCATAAAAAGATATTAACAAATCTAATTTCTGTTCCCAGACTCAACTACAGTTAGTATGCATTTTAGCTTTCTGTTGTTGTTGTTGTTGTTAACCTATTATACATTGTTTTTAGAACACTCTTGTTTAATGTGGTATCCTTTTGTGATCTTTCTGTGAGTTTGAAATTTCCAAATATTTTAAAATATAATGATTTCAATTTTATCAAGAAGCGTTCTCAAAAATTTAAGCAATACTGATACAAAGAAGAATGTAACAAATGCCACCGCAATCACTTAGAAGTAATGTTTGATAACACTTAGTGAGTGTCATATCTCACACCTCTTGATGGATGGGGGATGGGTATATGGAAATACATATATGTATAGAGGAAATATAGATAGAAGTAGTTTTATAAAGTATTACATGCAATCTTACCTGAATTTAATAGAAAAGAATTTAAGTAAAATAGAAGAAACAGCTAAACCTCAGAGAAATGTTTCCTGACCAGTAAATACATTAGCTAATAAAATATTATCACAAGTTAAAAAGGAAAGATCATGAACACCACATGACCTAGATGTTTCTCTTTTTAAATATTTTTTTATTAAGGGCTATGAAGATATCTAGAAAGATAAATGTGATGCAAGGACAAATGTCCTAATATGAAGCCCTGTCTTTTTCATTACATGGTTTTCCTTCGCAAAAGCTTTCAAACCATAGGAGGCATGACTCATGTCACTTCCTCTTCTTTCATTACATGCTGCACAATATCTGCATCAGTCTTCTCATTTATACAATCAAATTCATTGAAATCTATTATTTAGAGAGGCTGTGTTTTTTCTGTTCCACAAAGAGGACTTTGGTTTTCACAATGGATTCATACGGCAGTCGAGTCAGTTTCTCCCGTCGCTGGATTCTCAGTGTGAAGGAGTAACCTGTCCCAGCGAGGCTGGTCATGTTCACCAGGAAGATCTGTAACTTGCCCTTGGCAGCAGAGACTGTGGACAGCAACACCTGACAGCAACTCTGCAGTCTCTGTAAGCCATGACCTCCATTTTACTTTTTTAAAATCTTCACCCGAAGATACTTTCCCATTGATTTTTAGGGAGAGTGGAAGAGAGAGGGTAAGACAGAGAGAAATATCTATGTGAGAGAAACACATTGATTGGTGGTCTCATGCACATGCCCCACCAGGGCTGGTACTGGGGAGGAGCCTGCAACCGAGCTTCCTGCCTTTGACTAGAATTGAACCCAGGACCCTTCAGTCCGCAATGCTCTATCCACTGAGAAAAACTGGCTAGGGCTTTGACCTTCATTGTAGATCATCTCAAATGATTCCCTGTATTAAAAGACAAGGAAATTAACACACTTTTTTCTATTTCCTGTCTCCTTTATTTTGCTACTTATATTATTTTTACTTTGTTATTTAAAAAATCTTATTTCCTCTGTAATCATAATTCCCATATATATTTACTTTTAGTTCTACATGTAAATGTATTAAATGCTTGTTAACATATTATTTACCATAACCCTATCCATTCTAGAGGATTAAAAAAATTATTTTCTGGTTGGCTGACTTCATTGTTGTACAGTTTTTTTAAAGTTTATTTTTATACCACAGGCGTGGTACGTGAGATTCAGGTGTTCAAGATGCCAAAATCCTTCCTCTATGTCGCCCTTCTTAAGAAGCTATTAGAAATCTGGCCAGTGTGGCTTAATGGTTGAGCATCGACCCATGTACCAGACCACCTGTTCAATTCCAGGTCAGGGCACAAGCTTAATCAAATCTGTCTAGAAATTTCACTGGGGTTTCCTCTTGATTTCTCACTTGGGAAACCTAAGAACCCAAATGCAGAACAACACCATTTACCAACTCTGATTCAGTTGAACATGCACCATGATTGTCTGTCTGTTCATGTCTGTTTATTACTATAATGATAGAACCTCATAATATTTATTTATTTTTTAATTTATTTATTTATTAAGGTATTACATATGTGTCCTTACTCCCCATTACCCCCCAAGTCACCTCCCCAATTCATGCCCTTATCCCCCTGTTATCTGTCCATTGGTTAGGCTCAGATGCATGAATATAAATCCTTTGGTTGATCTCTCTCCCTAACCCCCACTGTCCCTTACCTTTCCTGAGGTTTGATATTCTAATCGATGTTTCTCTGTCTTTGGATCTGCTTTTGTTCATCAATTTATGTTGTTCATTATATTCCATAAATGAGTGAGATCATGTGATTTTTTTTTGTCTGGCTTATTTCACTTAGCATAATGCTCTCCAGCTCCATCCATGTTGTTGCAAATGGTAAGAACTCTTTTTTATTTTTTTTCACCACAGTGTTGTATTCCATTGTGTTTATAATATTTATAATTTAAAAAAAAAAAAACAGAGGTAGTGACATTGTATGTTACTCAAAATGGTTAAAATTGGGCTTTACCATATTTGAAGATAATAAAATCCTTCCTTGAAAGTTTCAATCCACTTCTAAAGTCTATTTCACAAGCCCATCCCAGAGAGTACACATTTTTAATACTTCTTTGGAGTGGTAGTTCTTGCCTTTTTCTCTGTGTGTGTCTTTGACCCATTCAGTTAAGAATCTGGTGAACCATATGGCATTTCCCAAAAAAAGTACACAGTTGTAAATTTTACATACAATTTAGGGTGATCTGAGAATCCCTGGCTCCCTTAAAATCTAGGTTAAGAATCTTAGTTCTGGAAGACTGTTTATTTATTCTTCTATTTATTTATTTTCTCTTATCATATGTTTGTGGACACCATCCTTTTGGACAACTAAGTAATAATGGCAGATGATTAGTCAGTGCTTTCTATAATAAGCGCCAGGCCTTGTTATAATGATAGATAATGAAGGTGACTTAAAATGTGTGTATGTGTGGCAATCTTCTCCAACTTTCTAGTTATTCGTTGTAGCCCAACAAAGGAATTGAGAGGTATGGTAGTTAAGACACTAATAGGCTAACCAGTGCTAGGCCAGCAAAGAAGAATATTTGCAACTTGGAGTGCTAGTTAAATTTCAGAGACTAAAATAATATATGGTTGCAGAGAGAGAAACTAGTTGAATTTATTTAGAGAAACTAGTTGAATTGTTTTATGGCACTGGAACAGTTCAAACTAGTCATGAGGGAGGGGCGATTGTATCTGAGTTCCTAAGAGGAATCTGACAATTCTCAGAAGAATGATAAGAATTCTGAGTCATCAATCTACTTCTAAATCAGCAATGTAAGGGCTTCAAGGAAAGCAAAGTTTATAGCATAATAAACACAACTGACAACTAGCTCTTAGACTAGTCAGTACTGTATTTGAGACCCCATTTTCATTTTCTTCATCCATCTAACAGGAAAAGCACAACCTACTATAAGCCCTGTTAGTGGAGTGGAAGTCCCCTTAAGAGAAGCCACGTGTTTGCAAAATCACTGCAGGTTCCTGCTTAGAAGACAATGCACAGAAGTTTATCTAAATAAATCCCTTCCATTTCTTTCTCATATCTGGGTGAGACTTTTTTCTCTCACTTCATCTACAGTAGAAGCATTTATGAAGAAATGATCATGTAATAGTTGTATTTAGTAGTTGTTATTCATAACAATCATTTAAAGAAAAAATAATAATCATTTGGTGACTTTCTAGGGCCTACTGTTTGTTAGTTCTTCCCTATTTTTCCATGTCCCCTGGTTTCCAAAAGAATGAGAACTGGCAGTTCAGAAAGACAATGGAGTTCTTAGATTTGAGCATGGTTGGGAAGTGAACAAGATTGAGGGATAATGTTACTTATAAAACTTTATACTAATAATGTTACTTGTAAAACTTTAGAATTTTAAGAAAAAGGGTCTAAGAAGTGATCACCTATTTTTTAAGGTGGGGCACAGACAGGACAAGTAAAAATAAAACCTTTTATTAACAATAACTCAGTAGAAATAACCACTAATGACCTTGGCAGAGGTTCTGAATACCCTTTTATTTGAAATAGCTGCACACTGAAGTTGAATGCAGCATGCTGAGCCTCGGCCCTGGACAGTGCATCCATAAAACACTTGCCCAGGATTGATAAGGCTCCCTGGCTGATTTCCTGCCGCTGGAGAGTTCAAGCAGATGATGACAACGGGGGTGTTAATCATTTCCCGACCAGGCAATCTTAGTCACAAGTTCCTGCTAAAAGTGAAATCACCCGCTCTGGTTTAAAAACAGCTAGAAACCTTTTACTCAGCTCGTGGTGTAATTTCTCCCAGTTTAGGTTGAGCACATGGAAATTTGTTTGGCAATTCTTTTTACGGCACTGTTCTCATTAGCTGCTCACACAAGCGGGGGTTTATCTGATTGTGTGGTAGATGGAAACTTCAGGATAAAATTCAATGGCCTGAGGCTGCGCGAAGTTTACCCTGGCTGTGGTTATGAGGAGGGTAAGTGAATGAAACTTTTTGTCGGTCTTGTGTTTCTTTTCTCTTATGCCAGATTTTATATACCATAAAACGAAAAAGGTGTAATCTTGCGATTACAGATAACTATTTAAATTTGCTTGATGGTTGTTTTTAAGTGATCACAGGCCAAAACCAAGCTGTAAGACACACAATGAAACATGCATGCCAAGCAAAGTTGTTGCAGTTTCCTCCTAAAAATTTTATTGTTGTTAATTAAACTGCTTGTTTAGTTCATTGAACTTTATTGAAATGTCTTTTTGCATTGATGGAAGGTTGAACTGTTCACTAAGTAGACTGGAGACAACTGTATGTGAATGAAAGACAAAAATAATTTTGATTATTGGAAATAGCCAAGATAGGGACTGATGCCTCTAGAGGTAGACTTCTAATGTCAAATAATTCTAATGGAAATATTGTATTATGGATGTGTGTTTCTATTCAAAAGGTATTTTTTTGCTTCTTGATATCTATTTGAAGTAGTCCTAACAGTTTAAAAATAAAACCTCTATTAATATTTCAAATAATCTTTCCTAAAAAGGAAAATATTAGAGTGTAATGGCAGGACTTTCATAGAAGAGTACTTGCCCATTTCAATTGTGGTGACCTTTTATTTCAAGAAAAAGACAGATTTCTCTTCTTTGAGCCTAGGACAGACCCGAGCACATAAAAGACTCCTTGCAAATGGCTATTGATCATTTATCTGTTTTTTCAGTCTGCACTTATATCATATGAATGGATTTTAGAAGATATTTTCTATTCATTTGTGTAAAATTTTATTAAGTACTCAATAAGTCAATGATTAATCAGAAAGGAAGTAGGTTTTTTATCTGAAAGCAATTTAATTCACATCTTTTTCCTATGGATCAAACCATCCCATTTTGGAGAACTTTAATTAACACTTTCTTTTGAGTATTTTTTTATTTTATTTAATTAATTAATTTATTTTTTGAGTATTTGAAATATTATAGAAATGACACACATTTTTTTTTACAATAACATTGCTTAACATTGTGAAAACCTGGAAATAACCAAATGTTAATGAATAGGACAGTGGTTAAATACAATGGGATCTGACATAGCTCATAAAAAAATGAGATGAATCTATATTTATTAACATGAAACCAATTCAAGTGCTAAGTTTACTTAAAAAAAGCAATTTGCAAAAAATAGTAGGTATTCACAGTATTTACTTACTATTTTCACAATAGTAAGTATAGCATGTACTTTTTTTTAACTTTATTTATTTATTTATAAATATATTTTATTGATTTTTTACAGAGAGGAAGGGAGAGGGATAGAGAGCTAGAAACGTCGATGAGAGAGAAACATCGACCAGCTGCCTCTTGCACACCCCCTACTGGGGATGTGCCTGCAACCAATGTACATGCCCTTGACCGGAATCGAACCTGGGACCTTTCAGTCCGCAGACCGACGCTCTACCACTGAGCCAAACTGGCTTCGGCATACTTTTTTTTTTTTTTTTTTTTTTAATAAAAATAAATAAATACCGGTATCTGTATTTACATCATCTGTAATAATATTTACTAAACCATTTAGAATGGCCACTTTGGGCATTGTAATGAGAAAGTTTCTTTTCCCTTTGTAGATATTAGAATGTAACAGATAGGGACAGTGCTTTACTTATTGCTAAAATCACAATGTAGGTAATAGTGGTTGGCACATAGCAGGCATGCAATAAATGGTGTTGAATGAGTGAGTGAAGATATTTCTGTAATCTTTAATTTTTTTAAAATTAGCATGATTAATTTGTAAACAGATAAAATCCACATAATTCCTTTTTTTAAATTAAAAAAAAAAGATTAATACAACTTTCAAAACCACTCTTCCCCTTCTGTTACCTCTTCTTCTTTCCTACTTTTTGTAATACTTCCCCTCTCTTATCTAGCTAATTTTGGTTCAAAGGAAAATGAAAATGCTATGCTGTCTGTGCTCAGATTTTCTGCCTAGGAATCTTACTTTGAGCTTGATTCCAAACCTCAGGAATCCATATATCGAAGATCTATGGATCGAAAATCCTAGATCGGTGTTTATCTCTTTGTGTGCATGCCATCATTACAATTTGATGGCACACCTTGGTGAATATACAACCTGACTAATGATACTCTGTGTCCTCAACACTTAGCACAGGTTCGTACACACATTAGGGAAGTAGTTTTGTTGCTGGGTATTTTTCTACAAAAATATGTGCAGTTCTTAATGATGGTGTACCACTATAATTTCTCTTCCCAGAGCAGGCATCCTATACAACAGACACTTAGTACATGTTTGTTGAATGAATGATTGGGGCTTTACCAGCACATATTCTCTGCGTATATGGGTGATTGATTGGATTTGGTCTGAGGGAGATAAGAGGAGGCTGTGTCAGTTCTAGTGACAGAACACTCGACTAAAATTGGCAGAGGCAGAAACAAAGAGAATTTATTGGTTCACACAGCAGTTTAATGGTATACCTGGCTGGAGAAATCGCTAGATACTGTGACTCATTCTCTCTCTTTCTTGGTCTCTGTGTTTTTCTTTTAGTATGTTTTCAGACAGACTTTCTCTTTGAGGGTTTTTTTTAAAACTTTTTTTTCTACCTTTTTCTTTGAGCTTATAAAATATCTGCTAGAGCCTCCAGGAACCATATTCTTTTAGATTCCAACCCAGAAGGAAAAAAAAATGTGTCTTTCAGCAATCCTGGAAAACTAAATCATGACACTCACTCAGAGTGGACCCACACTAACTACAGCCGGGAGAGTTCATGTACTAGTTTTGTGAGCTTTGAGGACCAGGGAAAAGCCTCAGCAAGCCAACTGGCCTGAGCTTGGGGGAGAAGTGAGTCCCCAAATAAAAATCAAGGCTGTTGCCACAAGAAATGGAAACAGATGCCAGATGGTTAAACAACACATGTCAAATGCAAAGGAAGGTGATTATTTCATTCTGTTTCTACTCTCCTTAACATAATTATGTCCAGAATATAAAGAAATAGCAGAACTCAATCAATCCTCTCTAGGTTCTAACATATAGGTTTAAACAGTTAAAGAGGAGCCAGATGGACAGATGGAAGAAAGGGCTTTTGAAACTGACTGGAGTCAGAGTCCTAGTCTAGAGTAATGACACTCAAATATACTCCATATTTAAATTATCTGGGGATAATTCTTATGCCCAGGCCACTCTTTATAATATGTATATAGAAACTAGAGGCCCAGTGCACGAAATTCGTGCACAGCGGGGGGTTGGGGGGGTTAGTGGGGGGAGTCCATCAGCCCAACCTGCACCCTCTCCAATCTGGGACCCCTTAGGGGATGTTCAACTGCCGGGCCTAAACAGGCAGTTGGACATCCCTCCACAATCCTGGACTGCTGGCTCCCAACTGCTCACCTGCCTACCTTCCTGATTGCCCCTAACCCCTTCTGCCTTCCAGCCTGATCAACCCCTAACCACTCCCCTGCCAGCCTGATTGATGACTAACTGCTCCCTTGCCAGCCTGTTTGCCCCTAACTGCCCTCCCCTGCTGGCCTGGCTAACCCCAACTTCCCTCCTCTGTCGGTTTGGTCACCCCTAACTGCCCTTGCCTACAGGCTCAGTCACCTCCCAACTGCCCTCCCTTGCAGACCTAGTCCCTCCCAACTGCCCTCCCCTGCTGGCCATCTTGTGGTGGCCATCTTGTGTCCACATGGGGGCAGGATCTTTGACCACATGGGGGCAACCATCTTGTGTGTTGCAGTGATGGTCAATCTGCATATTACTCTTTTATTAGATAGGATAAGAGAAAAGATAGGACAGGAGAAGGCTGAAAGAGGTTTATGGGGGTTGGCTTATAAAGTACTTCAAACAAAGATTTTAAAAAGAGACTTGTATCAGAATATCTAATGTTAGGGTGCAAGCGTCGGTATTTTGAGGCTCTCAGATATACTGTATTATTGCCAAATTTGAGAAATATCAGGGAGGATTTAGAATAGTTTTAAAATACCTGAAACTGCCCAGCCAGTGTGGCTCAATGGTTGAGTGTTGACTTATGAACCAGGAGGTAACAGTTTGATTCCTGGTCTGGGAACATGCCTGGGATTGCAGGCTCCACTACCAGTAGGGGGTGTGCAGGAGGCAGCTAATCAATGATTCCCTCACATCATTGATATTTCTCTCTCTCCCTCTCTCTCTCTCTCTCTCTCTCTCTCCCTTCCTTCTTCACTGACATCAATAAAATATATATTTTAAAATAAAGTACCTGAATATAAAGTGTCTTGGATATATCCTCAATAAATAGCTGATAATTTAATTTAAAGGAGGAAAATATATGACTGGGCCAAGGATTTCATGGGGAGTATATGTGGACTATCTACTGTGTGCTCAGTATCATGTTCAGTTCTCAATATACACATCTCATTTGATCGTCTTAGTCAGGACTTACAAAAAACACCTCCATTTATGGTGAGGAAATAGAGATTCACAAAAGCTCATGTAACTTGCCAAATGGTCAACCAGAGTAAAACAGGTTTTATGGGTTTCAAATTACATGTCATTTCACAATACCACAGGCACAGATGTCAGACGTGGGTTTAAATGTAAATATTGGGTGTAGCAATTACATTTACCTAACTAGAGAGTATGGACCAGGCATGAAGGCATTCCTGAAAAATGACAAAAGTGGTATCATCTACAGCACAGGTTGGCAAACTAGGCCCCATGGGCCAAATCCAGCCCCTTATGTTTTTATAAATAAAATTTTATTGGAACAGTAATTTGTTTACATCTTGTCTGCACCTGCTTTGCGCTACAATGCCAGAGTTGAGCAGTTATGACAGATACCATCCTATATAATAAAAACCTAATATGCTAAATGTCTGGTTGGCCATTCAACCAATCAAAGCCCCTCAACCGCTCACCATAACATGCACTGACCACCATAGGGCAGACACTCCGACCGGTAGGTTAGCTTGCTGCTGGGGTCCGGCTGATCAGGACTGAGAGGGGCTAGACAC